GTGCGGGTTCCCCGCTGGGCGCGCTGTGCCGCGTTAAGCAGGTGGGTACGACCAGAGCCCGTCGGTTACGTGTCCCTGCCTCTCTCCTTCTCTGGCTGGGCCTGGCTTTGGGCGAAGGGCTGCGCACCCCCTCTCCGGGCAGGGAACGGCGCCGCCCAGCTCCGGGAGGGGGTTATTACCTCTTCCCCCGACCTGTTCCGTTAGATACATCACGTAGGGGGGTGTTTTTAAGTACAGAAGGAAGGCCGTAGAAGCGTACATGGGTTTTGCAGGTGCTTTTCTCGGTAGTTACAACCAGGTTAGCAGCCAGCTGTTAGCCCGCCTGGGAAGGATGGAAATGTGGAGCCGGAGTGAAACGGCGCAGCGAGGTAAGGGATTTCACGGCTTTCGCTCCCACCGAATGAGGTAGGCTAGCCGCACTGTGTCGGGACGGGTGGTGTGTTGATTTAGCCCTCTTAATGCTTGTGACTGCGTGTCTGTTCATGAAGCTGTAAGAACAGGGGTCTGTTTAGTAGAGACAACTCTGAAAGTCGGTGGAAAGTAGTTCTCTTCCAAGAATAACTCTGTTGTTTTAAGTGTTTTGTTAAAAAGATTTTTGTCTTGTACAGATTTCATAAGTCTTTTTCCCAGCTGAAACTGGATTCTAAATTAAAACTGAGGAAATGCCTCTTTGCATTTTGAAGGTCTAGAAGAGTCAGACAAGTTGTGTACAGAAGGCTGGTACTATATACATTCCTTCTCTTCCTGATAAATATCTACGTTTGCCTATATGCATTGGTATGATTCTGGATCTTGAGCTAAACTCTCTCCTTAAAAACACTCAGTGAAGGAGATCCCAGACTCCTTACTCCATTAACAGCTACTATATTGTTTAGGTTTTCTTTGAATCATTTGCCTCCCCAAAATCTTCGGCAGGAAGGTGAGGTTTATAAGGTGCTTGTTCGAGACTTTTGAAAACACTACAGCCTCATCAGAACAGAAACTGTATTCACATTGGGCATCTGGAATGTCCTTAGTGTGCAAACTGCTCGTGTGTGAGCTGTTAAGAAAGCTCTTGTGTCATGAGCGCAGTGCAAAGAGGTATCTTTGACTTATTGCGCATGTCACTAACCCAGCAGCTTACGCGTTAAAATGGAATATAGTAGGTGCTTTCCAGTGCTCCAAATGTTTGCATTCATTTACATTATTTTCTTTCATTAAGAAGCAATAATTAAGTTGTAGAGAGGTACGACCTTGCTATTCTTGATGAGCGCACAGGGTTTTTTTTTTGTTGGTGCTGCCATGAATGTTTTATTCTTGAGTATGTAGAAGGTGATTATGTGAGAATCTGAAATCTTCTTACAGAATTTTGAAGAAGACGCTATTTAGTCTCCTAAAATGGAAACTACAATAATCTTTTCTTTTGCTGTTTTGATAGGGCCGTGCAGTGGTTGCTTCTCCTGCTGGATTCATCATGATAACTCCAGCTTTTGAGCTGAGCCAGGATCCGGATTTTCTTACAATAATAATCAAAATACCTTATGCCAAAGCTTCAGAGTTTGATGTATATTTTGAAGGGGAAGATTTTAAGTTTTATGCAAAGCCTTACTTTCTCAGGCAAGTAGTAGAAGGATGTAAAAAGCTTTGAAATTCCAAAAAATAAAAATAAAAATTGGTAGAAAATGAACTTGGCTTCTGGGGCCCTCAAAGCATGCTCCATCTTTAGTAGTTCCCGCAGTGATTTGGCTTGTCTTGTGGATCTGGCCTCTTTGTTGCAAGGTTTTAAATCACTTAAAAGGAGTTAATTTAAATACTTTTCTAAATTTACTTTACTATAGATTTCCAGATGTAAAAAGGCAAGGCAGTTCTTTGGATGTATGTAATTTGTATAGAGTAAGTGTGTCTTTTCCTCATTGAGAGCCAGGTAGGATATACTTGGTATTTTGGTGCACACCTAATAACATAAGGGGAGAAAAGTGCATATAAGCAGCAGGAAGTGAGATTTCTCCTGTCTTTTCTCTAGATTGCAAGTTCCCTACTACCATATAGAAAAGGAACAAGAGACAATCTAAATACGAAAGTGTTAAGAGAACCTTTGGCATGGTTAATAGTAATGAGCTTTTAACCTTTTTTTATTCTCTGTTTCCTGAATTCCTGAGCGTTTTTCTCCTCATGTTGCCTATATGTAGTAGTAGTAGACTACAAGCAGGATTTTAGTAGATGGGTAGAATGCAGTGAATTGGATGAATTTTTGTGTCCTGCCACTGTAGGTTACCTCAGAGTCTGTAAATCACAAAATCTTCTGAGTGTTGCGCATAATACTAAGGGCATCTCTGTGATGGCTGTGACCTCATCCTAGCTAGGAAAATAGGAGCCACAGATTCTCTCTCAGATGCTGATCCCTTGTACCAGTACTTAGGGATTAAGTTTCTGAAGTAGTATGCAAGGATTTAGGAGCATAATTTCCTTCGGAATGAATGAGAGTGATGTAGTTAAAGCCGTTGTACTGCTTTTGGAATGTACCTTATGATTTTATGGGCTAAGTTGCAGAATTAGTCAGGCATTCAGTGAGACTTCTTGATTTTTTGCCTGCAGATTGACTCTTCCTGGAAGGATTGTGGAAGATGGTAGAGAAAAAGCATCTTATAATACAGACAAAGGTATCAGTTAATATTACTAGTGTATTTGTCACTGAAAATACAGTGGTAGCTCTTCAGGAGCTTATGCTTGATTGCACAGAACTTTTAATTTATATACAGGATCTTATATTTTGCTAAAGTTTCTTCTGTTTTATGTGTAATAAAACTCCTGTTTAGGATGTGTTATACTTGCTTCAGCTATCATTAAGGACAAGAGACATGTCCGTAACTGTCCTAATAAAGAAAAGTTTATGTACAAGTCCCCTTCAAGTCCCATAGGGGTTAAATATGTCTTTTTACCAAGATCATTAGTCTAGTAAGTCTGCAAAGAAGTCGGGTAGTGCTGAGCAGAAATGAAGTAATCCTGAGGCAATCTCTTGATGAAGTCTTAAGAGAGAAGACTTGAACCTTTCTCCACGCCTTAAGGTGGAAGGGGCATTTCTGGAATAAAAAATATATATTCTGGAATAAATATATTCAGAAAGAAGAATACTGCAATAAAACCTATACTTTGATGCTTCCAAAGCCCTTATTACGTACCTGACTAACAACACAAATCAGCACGTTGAATGTAGCTTCCTATGATCTTATTTTGAGTACTTGGTTGAGGGAAGAGTTCAAATTGAAATAAAGTTTGTCTTCTGTTGGTTTGTTATGCAATGTAAGTCAAGAGACCACAACCAGTTAAATGTTTTTTCATGCTGTATTAAAATTTTATACTTCCGTTACTAATTTCACAAAAATCAAAAACATGTACAGTGATTGATGCATAATAAAATATTCTCTGTATGTATCCCAATTTCTGTGAGCCTTTTTTGTAAAAAGAAAAATGTCTCTTTAATTTGTCATGGATATTTTAATGTAAGACTAATATCTATATACTGATTTTCTTTAAGGAATTTTTACAATTCAGATACCTAAGGAGATTCCTGGCCAATATTTTGAGGGACTGGATATGCTGACGTCTCTTTTGGCACCAAAGAAGTTAAGATCAGCAAAACCTTTAGTGGAGGAGATAGGTACAGCAAAAAATCTTACTTATATTAGTGATGCAAATGTGTAGTAAAATAGTTATACAAGTAGATTTACATAGTGATATTTGTAGGAAAACAAACTATTATTGTCTAATCCAAGGTACAAGGTGAATGAATGAATCTGGAAGTATAGATAAGTATCAAAGAGAACTTGTATCTGATGTGCTTTTGATATTTATAGCTGAGTTACATGCCTGCTTTTCCAAAATGTATGTGTAACGCATGCTAAACCTCTGTAGATCTGTAGCCCCTCTAGTGGCTGTATAATAAATGCACACTTGAGTCTTCTACTTCCTACAAGTCAGTAAAAGTAGTCTTTCAACTTAATAGTAGAAGCTTAAAACCCCATAGGTTCCAGTGGATGACATGCTTAATGGCATCATTTCACAGACAAGAAGGCTTGACTATGTGATTAGTTATGTGAGTATCTGTCTTAAATTATTGATAACGTTACTTTGATCTTGTCAGGGTTATTTTGAAATAAATTTCTGTTTGTGTTGAAATCAGTGGAACCACTATTTCAGTCTTTGAGTAACTGAGTGCAAATTTTCTTGGTCTTTATTTTGAAAAGTTGGAGATTTTGGAGCAGGATCTATGTGTTACTGATGTAAGCATCTGCTTGTATGAAATACTTTATTAAAACATTTTTTTTTCCCTCTCTTCCATTCCCCCCTCTTATTTTGGAAACTATGATTTTAAGAGACAGTCTAATCCAGTGGTCTAGCTTAAACTGGTAGAGCCGTATACTATCCTTCCATGTTATGACAAAAGTGGAAAACTTGGGGCTTGCATGAAAGAAAGTAACACTTTTGCACATTACTAGTATTAAGAGTTACATTTTTGAGAAAAATGCCATTTGGAGATAGAGGCAGCAGAGATGCAGCAAAATCTGACAGATTGTGAACATCCGTAGTTGGGGATATATATGTTGCATCAAAAAAGAAAATAGAAACTTTTTTCCACTCTTTGTCTTGTTATATGTGAATCAGGTCTGCTATACCTCACTTTCAAACCACTCAGTTTATTAGACTGAGCAATTCTCACTAATGTCAACTGGCTAAGGTAAAGGGGGAGATTTGGAGATGTGTTGTTCGTGTGCTTTTGGTGCCTCTTTTTCTCTGTTCTATTTTCTGGAATTTATAGTTGACACAGTGTCATATTTATTAAGAGACAGAGTAAATAAAAAGCTTATATGATCTAATAACAAGATAAATATAGATAATACAATATGGTTGGGGTATAATATAAGCTTGTAAAAATTTTCTTTCTCTGGCCATGCAATATATACAGCTGCCTCTGCTCAGTTGTCAGAGGAGGAGGAGGAGGAGGAAGAATTTGACTGGGAAATTGAGCAGACCCCTTATGAAGAAACTGCAGAAAGCACTCTACAACAACAGTACTGCTATGGATTTGGGAATTTGCACTCAGGCGTGTTCGAGCGGCTGCAGGTAGATGATTCCCCCACCCCTTAGAAGTTTCAGGTAACTTTTAAGGTATACAGTCTTTCTGGTTGGATAGGCTTTCTGGCTTGTTCCGTAGTCAAGAAAGGATCATTTAATACCATTTCTTCCCCATTATCCCATTACGTGACTGAATATATTCTGCTCTTCGTATAATAGCAAAGACAAACCCTTGTTCCCGCAGAAATAGGAGCGGTCAAGACTGGGTTAACTGTGGTAGCTGAGGCAATAGCCTGGTCTGTTTCTGCAGTAAAATCACTGGTAGAGGAAAGGGCTGAAGGGTCCCTGCCTTTTTTTTTTTTTTTTAAAAAAAAGGGGGGGGGGAGGGAGAGAGACATGACACCTGAAAGTGGGCTGCTACTGCCAGAACAGTTCGGTTAGCCTTAAAGGCCTGTATGAAGTAAGTTGTGTGGCAGGTTCTGGCAAGCTGCAAATGGTCTTTAGACTGTACCATTAACGTTCCCACTTTTGTTTGATATTGTCTTCTGTTCTGACTTTAAGTGTGTCCAATGCCAATGTAAAGTATATTTCGGATGCCGTGAATTTTAAAACGTATTTAAAAATGAAAGAGACGATTTAAAAAAAAATTACCTAATACAAAATAAAGCTGGCTAATCTATAGGATTTGTTATGGCTGTTGCATTAAAATTTTTCCCATTGTGAAATTCTTAGTCTTTTTTTTTTGTGTGTACTTTTAATTTTAGCCTTCATTTCCTCAGAAGGCAGTAACTTGTGAAGTGTGCAGTCGTCGTCTTTTACCTTGTGTGTTTGAGGATCTCTTTAAGTGATCTCTTTAAGTGTGCTTGCCTCTTTCTTACTTGCTAAAGCTGATTCAGATCTTCAGACGTAAAATGAAGTCACTAGAAGCTAAAATTCTAATTTCACCAGTAAATAGATATTCTGGAGACTAAGATATTTGAAAATAGACTCTGCTTTATCATCCTTAAAGACGTTGAGCGATGAAGTCCTGGTTTTGTTGTTTCCTCTCTCCAGGAGTAGCACTTCATAACTGTAGCTGGCAGATTCTATAGGAAAATGTTTGCGGAATGTAAATAATTGTCCCTGGAGTCTGACCCTGGTTTTGTGTTCTCTATTGCTTCTAAAATTAGGATTATAATCTGTCATGGGTTTAAGTACATATTTTGTTCAAAATATTCTTTGACTGTACTGTTCTTTTAAAACTTTCTGCTTATCAGAGCTTGAACCTGTCAGAAAGCTTTGTTTGAACTCTCTGAGCAGTGTAATTCTATGATAAACTTACTCCATTTCAAAAAGAGGTTGATCAGCTGCCTGGAATGCTGGCTGGGAATGCAGGCTCGTTTTATTGGTCAGTCTGTTATCTGGGATATGGGACACCTATCTTGAAGTGATTTGAGATAAATACTTCAGGAGTTTTAGAACAGAGAATGCGTAATTGTTATTGGAGACTGTGAGATTAAAATGAGCATAGATTGTTTGCTAATAGTTCTGATTTTTTTTTCCATTAATACAAATATTTTACTTGATTAAAAAAAAATACAACAACCTGAATTTTTATTCACAACTTAGAAAATGATTTTGAAGAATACTGTATGACAAACTGTCCATACATACATAGTGCAATCTGGTTTATTCATTATTATCTGCTTTTGTGTTTATAGTATGTCTTTTCCATAGTTGAATTATTAGAGATTAAAGCTTTTCATAGGGTTAGACTCTCATAAAATATTGCATGAGAGGGCAATGCTGAATTATTCATCGTGTTGAATAAAAGAAGTTGAAGTATGATATCTAAATGAAGTTTACTGACTGAGGTTGGGATTCTTCAAGGTCCCTGATTTATGATGAACTTACTAAGGCTATGCTGATGCGCTGAAATTTCCTTTTGTAGATTAATTTGCAGGATAGGAGCTTTAAACTGCAGTCATTCTGCTTTTGTACATTCAATAGTTTCTTTAATTCATGAATAGACTGGAGTTAATCTACTACCTGTAGCATGTTCGGCTGCATAATAATATTGGTAGAATATAGAGCTTGATTAAGATACGAGGTGGTAATTTATTGTTTTCTTAATGTTCTGCTTAAGTTTTCACACCAGGCAGTAGAAGTAGTAGCTATTTAAAACATATTAATCATGTAATTCTAACTTACTATTGTATGAATTGGAGTATTTTACGGTTTTGGAACAGAAGGATCACTATTTCTGGAGAAAGTATTTACATTCTATGAGTATATTTATTGGTTTATTAACATGGAATTCCTGAAGAAGTACATTTTCCATCAGCATTGATGCACCTCTAGTTAATAATGTCTAAAAGGGTACTGAAATTATCCATTAATTAGCATGTGGCCTCTTGAGAATGCAGGAATCGTCTCAGGAGTTTCATGAACACTGTGATTTTTATCTTGCCCGTGTGTGGTTACATGCTCTTGTTAAGCATTACAGATTTCAGCATAATGCAAAATAGCCTGCCTGCCTTATGATAAAGGAAAAGGCCTGAAAAGAATTCATAAAGTTTGAAGCTGCTTAGAATTCATAATAATTGAAACTCCATGGAACGTGGATATTGTATTTGCACAGTGGAGTTCAAACTGAAAGGCTATGCAGGTGTTTTAAGACCATGCCTAGTTTTCAATAATGCATATCAAAAAGAGACACAAAATGAGTTAGAACTCATCTATTTTAACAGTTCCCACGGTTATTATCCTTATTTTTGCACTTGTGTTAAAAATGAAGGCATAGTATGACATATAACCTTTTCGTAAGGGAGGCTGAACAGTGCCTTAGTGCTTTGCCTCTAATGCCAATAGACATCCCTTCTAAACTTCTACTACAGAATTCTTGCATGTTATATCTTTGGCTTGGTCATCTAATTTTTGTTGCGTTTTCAGGATGAACTCAGTGATGTTATTGACATTAAGGATCCAGACCGAGTGCCTGTAAATGAACGTAGGAGAAAACGCCTGGCAGCTGAGGCTGCCAAGTTTGATCCTGATCATTACCTGTAAGTACTGGTTTATTTTGTCTGGTCAAGCGAAGGCACCTCAGTTGAAATCACTTTTTCATTTGATATATAATTATAAAATTATTATATAATATAATAGATGATACCAGCCTCTGGTCTTCAGCTGAAATTTTTGTTTTTCTGTGCACCCTGAGGAATGGTGGCAAACAGAAGTATTCTGATGGCTTTAAGGAAAATGCAGACTGTCTAATATTTGTAAGTTACTTTTTACAAAGACACTGAAGGCATTGGAGAAGCTGTTAATGTAAGAGTAGAGCAAATTACAGTCTGTTTTCAGTGAACTGGGCAGGTTTTGTACAATGATTAAGAACAAAGTTGTTAAGAAATATTTCCTAGATTTTTTACAGCTCTCAGTTTTCATTCTATTGTTTGTCTTGAAGGAAAAAAATGAAGGTAAGAGGAGGCTTAGAACTTGAACCTTCTTTTCATATAAATCCTTTCAGACTTACTCTGTTGAGTTTCTATCACAGTGGCTTTGTGCTGAGATGGCGGTACATCTTTTACAGAAATAACGTACAGCTCTTCTTTTTCCACCTTGCTACTGCATAGCTTTGTTTACCCAAAAGTTAGTTCCTGTCCCTACTTTCTGATCTTTGCTCTCAAGCTGCATACATCTCCTCCCCAAAGTATGCTTGCTTTGAAAATAGGAGAACTTCCCAATGAAATCAGGTTTGCTGCTAGAGGGATGTTCTCTGAGAAGTCCTCTCTTTGGAATGGTTTTCCTTTAGGTGGATCCAGAACAAACGAGATTTGTTCACCTTCGTGTCATGCTATGAACTCGTCAGCTTGCTAGGATTCTGGGCATCCCTGGAAAGGTTGAGGAAGTATAGGAGGGGTACTGTAAGATAAAAGGATATTGTTGTTTATGCTTTAATAATGATTATTTTCTGGTTTTAAGTCAAAGAGCAGATAGTGGTCAGGTTTGTTCTTGCTCTTTGGAATTATGTTTTTAACATATGGGAAATAGCTTGTTCTTTGGAATTATGTTTTTAACATATGGGAAATAGCCTGGAGTCAAGTTAGGTGTATTCCTTGTATGCATAAAAATATACCCGCCTGTGCTATAAACTGAAATAAACAGCACATGACTCTCTTTTTGCAGAGCTGATTTTTTTGAAGATGAAGCTATACAGCATGTTTTGAAATACAGACCATGGTGGGTGGATGCCCATAAAAAAAAGATGGCCTTGCAGGAAGAAAACCATCAGGAACCTGACAGGCAAACTTTTGGTAAGAATGTATCTGTGTCAATTAATTGTTGTGGTTCCGTGTTACGTACTAGCTTATTGCTCTTAAGGAAGAAAAGTATAGTTTTAGCCTACAATTTTCAGTTTTAAATCCGTTGCTCCTCATAGAAGAGAGAAGCATCCTGCATCACACCTTGCATTTCTTTGAGGGACAGTTACATATGGAAATCTTTGAGAGCGTTGATGTCTGGAGCTCACAGTATATGATGAAGTGGTCATTTCATCTTAAGCATTTATCCGTTAGTTTATGTAGGATTGAATGTGATCCGTTTTGTCTCCGTAACATATTTCAGAGTTAAACCCTTCGTGAAGGCCAACTAGAATTTTAGCTATCTATGCAGAGAAAATTCCCTTTTAAGAGTATGCTGTGATTTTTAAGATTTCATAGGAGCTGCCAGTGTCAGTAAGTCATGGCATTTGAAATCAAATCAAAACTATCTTTGTGTAGCTATTTTAATAGCTAGAAAGTGGGTCCTTAATGTGTCGGTAGTGTTTACCTCTTCAGACTTGCGAGTTACTGTTCTCCCTTTCCCAGCTGTATATTCAGGGGAAGAGTTGTCAAAACTGCTTTTGTGTTCACGTACAAATATGGTGCCGACACTTTGCAGCAAGCCTTCCAAGAATCAATTGGGGAAGACTGACCTAATATAAGCCCATATTTCTGTATGATGCGCACGTCTTTTGTTGGATGTTCTATTTTATTTATACAGTACCACAGATGTTCATGGCATTTATTATTCTATTGCTATTTTTATGAATTCTAGAGACTCTTTTCCAAGGGAAAAATCTTCGTGTAACCTTTTAGAAACTAAAAGGGATGGTTTCAGGATTAGCAGGTGAACCTGTAACAGTATTGTTAATAGATAACTGAGATTACTTTTTGTAGTACTTTCTTCAATCACTGTGGACAAGTTGTTATGCATATTCTTTTATTGTCCTTTGCTCATTTCCTATGTAGTATGAAAATTCAATGTTACTAAAATAGATAATGATAATTCCTTCAGCAGAGGTTCTTCAACAAATATAATATTAGTGCACTAATACCACCTGCACTTTCAGATATGATGCATGGGTAGAACAATGGAATTTAGGTAAATGCCGTATATTTCACTGTGAATGTAATCTGATCGCTCTTCGGCCTTTGAAGCCAGAAATTGTGAATTGTATCCATCACAAGCATTTGATTTAAAAAGCATTGGACGAAGGCTTGGAAACTGAATAATGAGGGATTCTTTTGTTTGTTCTTATCCTTTCCCTTCTTAGTCAATGAAATGTTGATGTTTGCCTGTGGTAAGGAATAAAATGAAATTGAAGAGCAGCTCGATAATTCTGTTGATTAAAAAACACTTTCATTCTAAATTAAGGTGCAGAAGAAAAACGTATATATGTTATTGTACTTTATGGGCAGTAACAACAGGCAAACTACTCAAAAGTCTGGCAGTCCTGCTAATAAAAAATTATGCCTAAATTGGGACTATACAAAAGATAGTTTTTTCTCTAAACCATTTGTCTTAGCAGAATTTTTTAGTATGGATGATCAGAAAACCTTATTCTGTTTACTTTCATGTGGCTGAGCGAAGAGGCTTGTATGGTTTGGGGAACCTCAGTAAATTTAGATAAGATACCATCTGGCGTTTGGGTTATGTAATGACGGCAACCCTCACGCCCACCCCCTCCCTTTTTTCTCTCCCTTAATTTAAAAAGTCTTTACCTTTGATAACATAGTTACTGTTGTTTGAATGGAAACAGCAGCTAATGATGGCAAACAACTGAATGAGGATCTGAAACCAATGGAGATTCTTAAACCTGAGTGAGTTGTGGTAAAAGAAACCACCATGAGAGGGAGTGCAGGTTCCACTTGAAGGTCTCTTATGAGTAGAAATAGAAAAGGGCAGGAGGTGGGTTTGGGCTATTGGATCTGGAATCTGATGAGCAGTGGGATGAATTCCCTGTGTTTTGTATTGCTTTTATGCTTTTTCAGTCAATGGCCTAGTCCAGCTCGTCTGAGTTACCTGTAAATTCAGGACTTCTTATGAGCTGAATGCAAATTGACTGCACTGATCTGTAGCAGTACATATTCTATTTTGTGCACTTAACTGGAAATGGCATAGAGGAAGCACATAAACAAAATGAAGACTGCTAAACGAAGGATCTTCTTTACTAGTTGAGAAATTTTGCCTTGTTTCCACTGGAACTAGGGAGAAATCTGACTGCATTAAGCCAAGGTGTGCTATATCCCTAAGCCAATAAAGAGACTGGCATTGGTGTTAGATTGTGCTTGCAGTGAGAAGCATGAGAATATTAGTGCTTAAGCTATAAAAAGCCAAAAGATACTGGCGCACAGCAGATGAAGGGGCACAAACTTTGTATGTATTGCAGTATCTCTTGAGAGGTTTCATGAAGTGATGTATGGTGATTCTTTCCGCCTGTGTATGCATGTATTCCCTGCAGGTAGGTGTGAGATCAAACATTTTTTAAATAATCAGATTCAAGTGTCCTCTTAACTTCTGGACCTGTTTAAGGGCATAAAGGAGGAGGGACTGAGATCTTTGCTCAGGTTCTTTCTACTGCCTATGGAAGTGAGGAATAAAATGAGGAATACCCAAACTGCTTAGTCTTCCGGAGTTCCAAATCATGTGTCTTGTGTGTATAAAGAAACCTCCTAAAATAAGAAAAGGGTAGTTTCCTTCATCTTTCCTCCCCGTTTCCCAATACTCACCTTTTTGATGAGGTACGACTCAAGATGGGCTTACTATCCTGGTCAGCTTTCACAAGTATTTCTGTCCTGTGTGAAGAAAAGTTATGCTCTTGCTTTCGCATGTGCAGTCCCAAACCTTTAACCAAGAACATGGAAATGGAGAGGTATGCTAGAACTCATATCACCAGATGCTGCATCTTGAACTGGAGAAGTCTGTTTCTCTCAAGCGTGAGATGGTGTGTATTTTGAGGGAACGTTCATTGCAAATAAGATTGTTGAATAAGAAGTGATATGAAAGTAGGAGAGAGAGTGTTAAAATTGAAAGGAGGTGATGGTATGGCCTGCCATGGTATTGGGGTACTGGCACCAGAATTTGCCACCTGGTGTTTCTGTAGTCCCTGTGTTTTGTATTCTGTTGTTGCTGCCATTAGGGCAGTTCCCACCTACACTGTGTCTGTGGAATGCTTAAAGTCGTGCTGGGAACTGATGTCTCAAGTTGCTACGTGAAAAAGTGAATTTAGGGGGAAAATGACATAAAAATTAGCATGTTTATTAAAAGTTTTCGTACTCAAAAACACTGAATCAAGAAAAACATTTGTTTCTTCCTTTTGCTGATTTATATTGATGTCTCTCTTTCATCTTAATGGTTTTCTTGGAACCGATCACTTGATTACTTTTCTCTTTTTAGTATCTTTGGCTACAAGGAGTAATTAGAAATACAGATCACTTATTTTTTGCGTGGTGTTAAAATTAATGGAAGACATTAATTACTGCTCTTATTTTCATCCTTTGGTTGAGGTAAAACACGAGAGAAAAATCACCAGATTTTTTTTGATGTCTTATTACCAATGTTGGTTTTTTTGTTTTTGGGTCAGCTATTCTCATTAGCATTTAGTGTCTTCAGTTCTCTTCTGTCCTCGCCTTGAATCTCTTTTTAATTAACCTTTTCTCTTTTTCTCCAGCTTTTGTGCATGATGTGTTTTTTTTTTTTCTTTAATTTCCTCTTTTATTGTACTTTTTTTAAACTGGATATTGCAATCATTGTCTTGTCCTTCCCCCACCCCCTGACTTTTTGACATCAGGTAGCTAAGATAATTGTCTTTGCTGTGGTATGGCTGAGGTACCAGCAGAAATACCACAGAGCAGGTTTCGCCATCGTGTTTGCAGCAAAATACCATTTTAGGAGTGGACACTTCTAAAGCTGACAGGCCCAGATTTTGTTCTCTCTTACAGTGTCTAATGCAAGTCAAATAATACTCTGTAACGCCTAACTAATTACACAGCCTTTCCCATGAGGGAATAAAGTTCTTGAAAAACTTCTCTTCTGCAGCTGAAGTTTACATTAGTCTTGCTTCTGGAGATTGCAGATGAAAGATTTTATATTTTGTAACAGTCACGTTCAACTTAGTTAAAAGTTCACTTTTATTCTATTTCAAATTGCACAACAGTAAAAACTCTATGTTGGGCAATGCAATAATCTTCAAAGGTTCTGACTGACGTGTATTTAATATACCATTAATATGATCCAGGCTTAATTTATTTTGTTTACAGGTCTCTCTGATCTCTTTTTAGAATAGGAATTTCTTTTTAAAGCTCTGCCTTTCAGTAGGACTCTGAATACTCATATATATACTATTACTGGCAGTTTCACAAGTTTAAGATGAATCACTTTTCTCTATCACTTTCTGACGTTGCTTTGTGTATCTGTTTTACTCAGTCTTCCTGGCCTTCACAGTATGTGTACTTCAGTGGCACTGTCCTGTGGCAGAGCAAGTATTTTTCATGTGAGAGAAAATTAAAATATAAATGATAGGTCCCTATTGTAAAGTATCCCTGACTTTGAAAGGTGAAAACAGTAAGATACAGAAGAAGGAATGATGAGTATCTTCAGTATGGTTTATAGGAACTGCAGACCTGTTAAACTAAATTTTGTCATGATTCTTTAAAGGAAATTGTGGTAATTAGGAAAGACTTGTCAGAGTCCAGTGTTTTTATGGAGAGTGCCTGTAAGAAGAAGGTCAAAAGTGATATGGAGGAAATGTGCTGTAGATGTTGGTTTGAGAATTAGAGAAGGGTGGAAGCTTGACATTGCAGACAAGCATTTTTGGTTGGAGGTAAAATTTGAGTGGAGGAATTGTAAAGAAGGTCCTGTAAGTGGAGGGATGAACAAAAGGCACTTGACTGATCACAGTTCAGAGTGAATATAGGTGTGCAGAGGGATACAGCTTAGTGTTTCTTTTTTGGGGGTTCACTTCCTGAAAATTGAGGCTGATCTGATCACATTC